TGCATCTAAACTCGAAACAGAAGGAACTGAAACGTCCACCTAAAACTCCAAATAAGGATAACTAGAGTGAGTTGTTATGTCAACTGCAGGTACAAGCACTTTAGAACCCATAAACTATGGCGGACGAAGCAGTCCGTAGGCAATCTTTTATCACAAACACCCTTCAAGAAGTAAAGGAAAAGTTTCTCAAACAGAAATCATACTAAATGTCAAATTACATACCTGTTTTTATGCAAGTCATTTATTAAACGACAAGAACCACAAACACGGATAAATTATAGTTCTAAGTGATTGAAATCCCTATATTAAATCATACGACAATCTCTGGTTTCACGGACATTTGCTCTTCGATAATAGTAGCCCCATTGCTATAAACCTCTGCATCGGCGACATGAACATCTTTGCCAAGAACCGAAATGTTAACTACCCGAGCCCAACTTCCAACGGTCGAATCCCATCCCACAATACTATTCGATACGCAAGCATGTTTCTTGATCCGAGCACCGCGCATTACAGTGCAATTAAACAACCTTACACCTGATTCAATCACACATCCCGGTCCAATCACCACATCAGGTCCTATCAAGCAGCGTTCTCCTATCACCGCGGTTTCATCCGCCAGAACATTCCCTACAATATGATCCCCTGTAACCAATTCCTGTGGTGCTTTCTTTCTTAGAGAATCGAGATACATTCTTTGCCCTGTTATGTAATCTTTTGGCTGACCAATGTCCATCCAAAAACCAGGTAAGACCATTGCGTAAAGCTTCCTCTCTGAAGCTATCTTAGGGAATATCTCTTTCTCTATCGATGTTCGTCTCAGCTCGATCCTATCAAGAACAGATGGGTTCAAGAGGTATATCCCAGCGTTGATCTTGTTCCCCACAAAATGTTTCGGTTTCTCTACAAAACTTTCAACCCTCGATGTATCTTCCTCCATAACCACAACACCATACTTAGAAGGATCATCAACCTATTAATATATACAGCACGAGAAAACTCAAACTTAGTAAAAGATCAAAGACGCAAAACGCAGAAAATGCTCTCTTTTTTTCTTTTGTTTACCTTAGTCACCATGATCGAAGCTTCAGCGCCGTTAGTCTTGTGAAATTCGATCATCTCAAGCAACGGATATTCGCAGATAACATCGCTGTTTAGTACAAGAAAGGGTTCGGCTGATTCATCGACTAGCAAATCCCGAGCCAGCGCGAGAGGCCCTGCTGTCCCGAGTGGTTCTATTTCTTGAGAAAACGTAATCTTTATCTCAAGCTTCTTCTCATACTCTTTCACAAAATTCAACATGACCTGAGAGATACACCAAAACACAAGGAAAGATGATTACAGAGTATCTATCTTTTCAAGGGTTGTTAATGTAGACAGTGAGTGTGTACCTCTGGTTGTTGGTGATTGATAGCTAATACAACTTCAGTCACTCCAGCAGCTTTCAGTGCTTCAATCTGTTCATTGTTTGATCGAAAGTGTAAGACTTTGAGTCGGAGAACGCATCATCAACATCATAATGAGAAGAAAAACTTGAGACCTGATGCAAAATCATGGGTTTGTTTCCAAAATCAACAAGCGGTTTTGGCATGCTGAAGGTAAGCGGTCTCAATCTTGTTCCGAATCCTCCAACGAGAATAAGAGCCTTCATTCTTCTGCACAAATATATGAACAAGAATTGACTGAATGAAGAGGGAAATTCTGGAAAAAATCATCAATTACAAGTATTTTCACTGTTATCTGAACCAAAACACAGAGGAATCTCTGAATCAACCCTAGTTAGTAGTTACATTCAACAAGCGGAAACCTGTACTGCTACACAGAAATCATTATATTGACCCAAACTAAAAGGGAAGACTAAAGACATTAGAGAGATTCAACGAAACTGACGTGAAATTTTGAATGGTCTTCAGAGATCTGGAAGAAGAAGACGTCTTCAGAGATCTGCTTGAGTGGTTTGACAATGTTACGTACGGTACGATGATTATTCACGCCAAAAGTACCAACCATATAGAGTCCAAGAATTCCCTTGAACCAAATTAAATTAAAACTAGATCTTCAATTTGTGGCCCTAGTTAAAGCAGATCCCAGTAAAAGAGATAAACTATATATTATTATTTTACCATTACCCTTTTAAAAAAGATTTATATCCATTTATGTTTTGTTTTCTTATTTTGTATATAGTCTAGTGTTAGTGTGAAGTCGACACAAGTCAATTATTTAAATATTCCATTTTTTTTGCGTTTGAATAAAAGTTTTAAATCGATGTCTTTCTGCTTTTCTAGATGAATTTCTAGAATGTGATATTGGGTTGAAGAATATCAAAATAGTTTTTCGTATTCATTCATTTCTTTTTAATGATCATCTTTGTCTTGGTACCATATCGTTTTAGTCCTCCGATGTTGTTTTTAACCTTAGAGTATAGGTGTTTCTATCTGGTGCTTTAGAGTAAAAAGTCATTGATCTGATTGGATCTTCTTTGATTTGGGGTTTAGTTTGTTTAAAACGTATATTTCTTCCTGAGTCGACTTCAATTTTCTTTTAAGAAAATACAAGTCTGCAGCAGGAAAAAGAAAAAAACAAAAGTTGTATAGCATCATAACATGGGATGGGATGGGATTGTCGCAACTCCAAAACGAAATGGTTTTTTCGAAAACAACATCACAAGCCCAAATCAAAAACCAAACACACAGATACTCAGATAAAGTAGAGAGTATGATGGATAAGACATTGATTC